TGGACGAGTGGGAGGAAAACAGAAGTAAAGTAAGTCTCCTTTGTATTATGCTAATCTATATCCTTCTATCCCTGAAAAGAGCCAAGCCAGCCCGTCACTGCACAGAGCACTGGAAAGATTAAATCGGTTCAATAAATGGTGATATTTCTGTGAATATAGCTGATATTAACATCCTGATACTTCATTACACTGACAAAGATTGCAATGAGAATAGACAATGGTGCAAATTAATCTGTTCTTCTGACAGTACGTAATGAAAATGGGATGTGGTTTTAAAAATTAAGCAATTCCTAGTACAATCTCAAGATTGCAATCTTGTGTCTCACTGAGATGCTGTACACTGGTGATACATCATTGAAAAGTGTCGGTTTAACAAAGACTGTGTCCTAGCTCTTGCTGGGCTGGTAGAGCATGTTTGCTTATTTCACCCCAGCCTGGCTCGTTAGAAACAATGGAGTTAAATCAATCATGTTTTTTAACCACACACACTCAACATTGCAAAAAGCCCTCTGGCAATCATGTCTTGGTCAATATTTGCTAATAAAATATCTCACTTTATCACCCTCATTTCTCTTTAAGATGAGTGCCTACATTTAATTTTACCAAGTTCTTTAGGATTCCAAATCTAGTGCCGATATACCCATACCCAGTGGAAAGATAACTAGGTTCATCGTGGCCCGTTACATGCTTATGCTCCCCACAGTGCGGAGGCTGATGAGAGATGAGAGAGTTGGTAGCCTCCAAACTTACACTAACTCAATGTGAAATTTTACTTGATATTCACTCCCTGATATGCATACAAAAAACCCAAGGTATCTTATATGGTGTGGTCTAAATATAACAGAAAGCATAGAACCGTGTTGCTTAGATCTACTTTTCTAGGTTCAAACTGAAAGAGTATAGTACAGCTCTACAGTTGTAGACTCAAACAACAGCAGCAAAAACATAGCTACAGTGGGTATTGAGAGCAGCAGCTCTCCGTGTACCAGTTGGTCCTGGTGGGAACCTGTCATTAGGGTTCTTTTAAGACATGATCAGTGTCCTATGCTGGTGGACTTGAGGCTTATCTATATGACCCCTTCCTCAGAAGCCTAAGCTTACCACAAAGGCACTGTGTCTTTCCTGCTGCTTCTCACATCTAGAAATTCTTAATAAGGCAAGTAGGCTTAATTAGGACCTCCCAGAAAGTTCACAGCACAGACAGACTAGGAAACAGTCTTAAACGTTCCTGCTAAGAGCATTTCCTAATACGTCATACAGTTTACATGTATCGAAGCCCCTCACCAAATGGTTTGAACAAAAGACATTGTTGGCTAAATTTGCCACTAGCTCTCTATAGTTTACATGATTGTTGTAATTTAATATTAGATGAAGCGTTGTATTTATTCTCCAATGATTCTTGATGGTTAGCCACCCTGCTCTGTTCTAAAAACATAAAAGTGAGTAAGATATTGGCAGGAACCCATTGTTTTCATTCATTCAGTAAGGACAGCAATATGTTTATTATTTTCTGGTGATGTAATAATGCTTATTTATTCATGAATGTGACTCTTGAATCTTATTCACTGCCAGTTACTAGGTGAAGCCCACAACAATCAATCATGAAAAATCACAGCCCATAACCACAATGAGTTTATGATCTACACGCAGAGCCAAGTGAGTAGACAAGCACCTAAGTGTGGTGTAGGAGATGGTACTAAAGCATCAAGTGCTTCGGGAGTACGCGGGGAGAGTTTCTGGCAAGTTCTAGAAGACCGAGAAGGGAGATGGCGAACCTGGAACACGTATGCTGCTATGGGTACGTGGAGCCCTCTCTGAGGTGACGTCACAAGTTGGGCGAGTTGTGTTACCTAAAGAAAAACCCAAGAGCTCAGGTTTAATTGCAGTGTTACCACTGTACAATAAGTCAGTGGGTTTAGGGTGGCCGTCTCTAAAAGTCTGGATATCGCTGACCTAAAAGGAAAGATGCCATGAAGGACAGATGTCACAGAGGAAAAGAGAGGAGGGAAGAGAATGCCAGGCAAAGGGGATCCTGTCTCAGAATTGACATTCGAACCATAAAAAGTGTGAAAAATCCAGGCATTCATTTATTGATTATCCATTCATTTACAAAATTGTACAGAAAAGATTAATACATTAGACATTTCCTTAGCCTATTATCATGTAGATGGGATTTTCAGTACATTTTGATATGTAAGTAGACAAAAGCTGTTACATATTATATTGGATGCTTATTCTGGAACTCACTGGAATATCTTTTTTTCCAGAGGCAACACTGATAATCTTCATTCAAATTATCTTCCCTTGATAAAGTACTGATAAGTAAGGAATAAATTGAATCCACAAATTGTTCCCATGGTTATGTAGATCCTTGTCACAAAGTTATATTTAACTCTGGTCTCATCATTCAGGATGAGAAAGTTGTGCTGTCCAATGTTAAACCACTAACCATGGCTATTTATATGTATATTATTGAAATTAAACAAATTAAAATTGCTTCTCTGTCATACGACCCACATTTTTCAGGGCTTAAATCTTTATGCCAGCATATTGAACAATGCAGAATGCTTTCATCAATGTAGAAAGCTCTATCACACAATTTTATTTTAGCAGCTATTATGTTTTAATAAATTATAATTATCAGGGCACTGTTGAAGAAATAATAATTGCTCAATAAAGAGCAGTTACTTTAAAGTAGTTTTATCCTCTTTTAGTGGCAAAGTTTGTTTTGTGAAAGAAGATACCAATATTTACATAAATCATGTAATGTATTTTATAATAATCAAGCTGAATGAGCTGACAGGCCCATCCCTGAGTCTCTGATATCTGTTAATGTGGTATAACCACCCAGGGGTGAGAAATTTCAGTCCCATAGCCTCTCACATTGTATTGCCCGCTCTCTGGTGGAGATGGTAATGAGTAGTAACACTGCCAAGAATGAGTAAAACGAATGGGAGGAAAAAATGCCAACACTTTTCAGAATCTATTCTGAATAATGAATTAAATTTCATTCATGTCTGATTTTCTGAACACAGCACCAAGAAGCAAACAAGTAATTCCATACACTTGACAGCAGAATCTAAGAGCTTCAAAGGGAGGTGATGGGGATCTATCTGGGTGTGAGTTTGACACATTTTAAGAACAGTCACTCTTGACACATTAAGAAACCTATAATCAGTTTAGATGTCTTCTCTCCACCGGTTCACATGCACCAGCTTAATAGTATCTAAACAGTCATAACGGAGTAGACTAGAGTGAGCTCAGTGGTCACCAAGCATTAGTTCATTTGACTCTTTATTGAGTTATCTAACTCTAGAAGGAATTAAAAATAGTCATGGAGTAACCAATGAAAGGAGGGCAGCATAACTAAGTTGTATGACACAGACACTTTTGATAAGTAAAAGCACAATCAAAATAATGAGTGGATATATTTGCCTCTCAAATTAGTATAATATTTTTCTAGTGCAGATAGCATAAGAACTTTCTCACACAATTGCTGTTGAGAGTATAAACTAAAACAACCATTTGGAAAATATCTTATCAGTATACATAAAGTCCATAAAGTATACACACTCTCCAATACACTGCTTTCATCTCTCAGTATATCAGGAGTGTATTAGTTCTTAAAGGGATAAATTCATATTGGAAAAGATATTCTTTGAAATATTTGAAACAACTTAAAATCGGGAAATGATTAAGCAAATCACAGTAAATGCAGAGTCATTAAAATATGTTAACAGAGTTTCAATAACATGGAAAAATGCTTAATTGCTTAAATTAATGCCTTCATTTAGAGAAAAGGAACTACATACGTGTATATCAACATAAGCTTAATTTTATAAAACATATTACAAATTTGCAAGTATTTTCAATGGTTTCTTCTAAGATAAAGTTGTATTCACTCTCAAAGTTAATTTCTCAATTGGAAAAATTATGTAGTCATTCAAAATAATCTATAAACCAAAATGTGTTAAGTTACACTGTCCATTATTTCATCAGATCTCCTGAAAGTAGATGGATAAACAGAATTGAGTAGAAGTGAATTTTGATAGGAGAGTAGTGGATTATATCTCAGAACTCATTAAGATACAAACAGATGCTGATGACACCGCCATCTACAAGACAGAAAGCAGAAACATCTTGCAACTTGATCCTCCCACTGGTGCACAATAATTTTTCTGAGTAATAAACAGGGCATCACGTGCTGTTTACAAAGAACTTTCATTGTGATATGTGCTGAAAAAGATTGAACTTTGGAACAAAAGGTTACACCAATTATTAGCTATATTTAGAATGATTATAAATTAAAAATACTAGATGCCCACACACACACATAATAATAATAATAATACCTACTTTGCATAGCTGTTAAGAGGATTCTATCCTGATGTCTAATATAGAATATATTCCACAAAAGTAGCTATATGCCTGGTTTTTAAAAGGGCATAGAAATCATTGGTTGCAGACAGAAAAGTATTGATCAAACAGGAATTGACAATGAAATACCAAGAAACAAAACATAGTGATGCAGAGTTTAAAGTGAGAAATGTTCAGAAATCTATGTATGCAGTATTATTAGGTAATTCAGTTCATGAGTAAGTAGTGTTAGCTGAAATAATAGATTTGAAGTTGTGTGTGTTCTCTAGCCTTGGATTTAATGACACTGCAGTTTCACCCAGTCCAGCTTTCAATTTTGAATTCCTGTAACATTATGCATGTTCCTTACACTTCAGACAACCTAAACGACTTGGGTCCTGTTTTCTGTTTTTCTCCTTTATAAAACACCTCTGCTCATTATTGAATCAACAGCCAAATGAATGATTATGAAGTTCATCTTTGAGTATGAGACTATCTGCTATTCAGGAGAAATGATAGCCTAGAGTTTTTTGGAATCTTAGTCAATATGATACAGATTGACTGTGATGACTTTCTTATGCGTGCATATGCTTCTTGAAATAAATATAAAAATCTTGAAACTGACATGACAGCTTGGTTTTTAGCAGTGGCAGCAGCAGATGTGGCTTACTACCACATCAGGCTTCCCATTGGTGGTCCCATCCCTAAGCCCATATCATCTCTGGTAATGCAAGATTGGAACGCATGTCTTGAAAAGAGTAGTTTTTATTTCCTCTTAGAAAATGTGTTGCGACTCACTTCCGGGAGAACATGGCAGACAGATAGCAGCAGCTATGAAGGCTCTCTGAAAGACCCAGCTTAGAATCCAGGAATGGTGCGGAGTGAGGAATCCTAAGCAAGAGCAGATATACCCTGGTGACTCAAGAACGAACTGAGAGAAACCAACTGGGAATGCAATCCTGGTGCTATAACAGGAACAGATAAAACCTCAATGCAGAAGCTGGAGCCCACGCTATTGGAAGCTGCGATTTGGGTTAACTGCCACCGCTGCTGTGTCTGAATTGGCTCAGCAGGGAGAGAGACACGTGAAAGCTCTGAGAATGGGAATCGATGAATGGAGTTGAGAGCAGGACAGGTGGGGAGCCGTGCATCGACCTGCGGTGAGTGAGGGAAACTGGGACTCTTCCACGATCTAGAAGGCTCCAACAGAGGACATTCTGGGACCGGGCAGACTTGCTGGAACAGGGCGCTGTAGTGACTTCAGTCACATATCACCCTCTCAAGCAGGATTGGTGAGCGGTGCCTAGCCTACGTGACACTGCTGGCTGAGACCCAGTAGGCTAGCACAACCCTGGTCCCAGCACCTGGATGTGCACCCTAGCAGTGAAGCCTTGGGTAGGTTGACCTGGAGGGGCGAGCCCAGCATAGGCTGCCTGGTCCGTAACTCCCTGGTGCGTTGCGGGGGGGGGGGCGGAAACACCTAGCCGGCGCAATTCAAACAGACTGTGGCCAACAGGGAAGGAAGCTAGGCCTCCTATATATGCTTATATATAAGGAACAAAGAATATGGGAAGAGGGAGCAACAAGAAAGGCTCCTCGGCCCCCATTCTTGAGAAACAGGCAATAGCAGACACGACACCAATAGACACAAAGCACTATCTCCAGAGCCTCATAGATGAGTTCAGGAATGAAGTTATTAATGACCTGAAGCAAGACATAAGCAGAATAGTTAGAGAAATGCTAAGCACCACCCAAGAAAAAACAGATGGTGGAATGGAAGAACAGAAAAAAAGGGGAGAATTGTTTGATGGAGAAAATAGAGAAAACATAGAATACGTGAAGCAGGTTCAAAGAGATTACCAGGAAACTAAAAATTCTATTGAAAACTGGCATAATAGCTTGAAAGAAACTAAGGATAAATTATCTGAACTGGAGGGCAGATTTGTAATGTGGGAGCATGAATGAAAAACTTCTTAAAAATAACAAAGAAACAAACAACAATAATACAAAAACTAGAAGATGATAAGAGGATCTATAACTTGAGAATTAAGAGCATAAAAGAAGAGGTAGGGACACAAACAAATGAACTGCAAAAGCTACTCACAGAAATAATCCAGGAGAATGTTGCTAATTTAGCAAAAGGTAAAGATACTCAGATGTATGAAGCATACAGGGCCCCAGCCACCTATAACCCAAACATAGCTACACCCAGGCATATAATAATCAAAATACCAGAAATCCAATATAAGAACAGAATATTAAAAGCCGTCAGAGACAAGAAACAGATCACTTACAAGGGAACACCCATCAGAATTACAGCAGACTCCTCGGCACAAACCATCAAATCACAAAGAGCATGGGGGGAAATAATCCAAGCTTTGAAAGATAATAACCTCCAGCCAAGATTGATATATCCTGCACAACTATCCCTGGAAATTGATGGAAAAACAAGGTGCTTCCAGGATAAAGAGGAACTAGGGGAATATGCAACCACCAATTCCACTCTACAGAGAATTCCGCAGGATATTCTAAAAAAGAAAAATATGAAGAATCCAGAAATAGTGGCAGAGAGGCCTCAATGAATGGAGCAGAAAACAAAATGAAGAAGACAAAGTGACAACTAATGACAAAAAAAGAGCTCAACAGAAATGAGGCAGAGAAGATTGGATGATAAGAACAGCTATTTTGGAGAAAATGACATCATAATAGGTAATGCTGATTTAATATCATCTTGTTTTGAAGTCCCATTAAGCTTTTGTTCTTCTGTCTCCATAGGTCTTAACATGTTGTATCTTATTGGATTTTATTATATGTGATAGTATAAACAAAAACTTTTACAGACAAGGAGATTATACAGAAACCATTGTTCATTTTCTGTTAGTTGATTCTAAATACCCTGTAATACTGTCATTCTCTTGAATAGTTTTACCTTGTTTTGATATATTTGATGCTACAGTATATGAAGTTATACTCAAAGATTTCAAGGAAAGAGACAATATGGTAACTACTTTTATGTTGGGATTATCTTGTGGTGAAACACTATCTTGCTTGAATGGTTATGTTTTGATCTGCGCTGTTTTGCTGTTATGCCCTCTTTTATCTCAATCTCCATTTTATTATTTACTTTTTTATTTTTATCCTTTTAATTAAGGGAAAATAAATTTAAAAATAGCAGGATATATTATAGTAACCCACTTTGATTTTCTGTTAACTTGATTTGAAGCTCTGCATTGCTCTCACCATCTTGTTTTGACTGATGTTCCTCTATTCTGTTTCCCTTGATAGCTCCAGGTTTGAAAGTTTAGGCAACAGCTGTGAAGGTAGTGGGATTCATTATGACACCCATTCTGGTTGACTATTACCTACTTTTGAAGACCTGTAATGTCACCAATGTTTTGGTTTTGTTGGTTTCGTTCTTTACTGTTTTGTTCAATTTTATTATAACTGATGATATAGGCAATTCTATTTGAGATAGCAGGAGGCATTATGGTAACCACTGTTGATCACCTTGTATTATGATTTTACATTATCTGCTATGTCCACCCTTTTGATTTGACCGACTCTGTTCTGTTATGTCACATCTGGTTTTACTCTCTTCCAAAAAAGTAATAAGAACTGTGGGAGTAATAAAACCCAAAATGTGTAATAGTCATTGTACAAAAGAGAGGAAAAGAAAGTGCTCTAAATGATATAACTGCATGTATATTTAAGTGTATAAGACAGACAATGATATTACTGAGTTTTGTTGGATCATTGAACAGAACTGTTTGGTCTCATTGTTTGAATGTCCACTATATAAGCTTTAATTTTGTAACTTGAACAAATATTTCTAAGATGACAATATGTAATCCATTAACTAGTGATTTCCTATTGTTTATTTTTTTTCTGAAATTCTGTATAACGTGTACCCTTTTTCTGTTTTTTTTTTCTTTTTCTCCTTAAATAAAATTAAAAAAAAAAAAAAAAGAAAATGTGTTGCGATCCAAATCTGCCACAAACACTGTAACTCTGAAGCGTACTTTCAGTGTGAGTTTTAAGATTTGCCTTCTGTTCTTCAGTCTCCAATTACCTTAAGAATTGTGAGTAGCTCCTGTCTCTGCTGCTGCTTTCTGTGACTTTGAAATGTTCCTCACAACTTATGAGGAAAAGAGAGACCAGAGCATGACAAGGACTCATGGTCTCACATCAGCTGCAATTTTGTTAACTACACTGGAGTCACACTGAAATCATTTTCTAAGGGAAGAAATTGGGCAAAAGAAGGATTTGTACTGGGTTTCAGCATGGGCAGGACTTCAGACCGAGATTCTAGAGGTCTTGGTGGCACCCGGTCAAGCAGGAGTCAACTGTCCCCGTCCCCTTCTAAGGGGACCCCGTTCCTCTTCCAAGTCTGTGTGTGACTGACTGTGTGACATTGTGGTTAACTGCATAGACTCTGAGTACGGATGGAGAGATGTGTTATGGGAGAAGTGAATAAATAAGTAAATTAGTCTGTGTAAACAACAAAAAGAACATTCAAGAGAGTCATATCTGAGAGAGCAGAGGAGGAGTGGTCATATAACACCATGATGAAATCTCAGACCATCTGTCTCCTAGACCTGATGTTTACGTGTATCAGACTACCTGGTGTCCACTGTGTTCCCCAAAAGTGTCCGAAGAGATGCCGCAACTTGTGTTGGGATCGCGGTGCATGCCAGTGTCTAAGCATCTGTCAGCCTCTTGTTCTTGTTGATGGAGGCCCTCGTGTTTTGAAATCCATTCATCAGCTCCTCTGAGTGCAGCACTGGTTTGCCTTTTTCACATTGGAGACCCTCATCTCTAAAGGCCTTGTGAGTAAAATTCAAGGCTTCCTAGTTATCATCGTCCTCTTCTTAGGTATCCTTGCTACTGATCCTTCCTAGATGCTTTGTCCTTCTTCAGCAAGGCAGTGGATAAAGTGAGACTGCTATTATTTCAATAAAGGATCTCAGTAAGGAGAAGTCAAATGCTCCAGATCTTTGAAAAGAGAAAACACATTCTCTTTCCTTAAATACAAAGCCTAGACTAACTCCACTTGTGTACACAGAATGAGAAATGAGGATCCTTACAGGACACGGACTGAGTATCTCAGAAGATAACCTCTTCCTCTAACCGTTCAGTTGGAAATATCATGTATTTATTTGTTTAGAATCTTGTCACCACTTAAACATTCATTCCATAAAAGCAGATTCTTTATTTTATTCATTACTATAACCCTACTGTTTACAACTATCCCTAGTGGATGCTAAAAAATATTTGTTGAAAAAATAAATTAATATCACTACCTTGGGTCCCACATCTTCATTTTGATGTACAGAAAATTTTATCTTGAGCTGGGCGTGGTGTGCACACCTATACTCTCAGCACTCTGGAGGCTGAGGCAGGAAGAAAGTTGTGATTTTGAGACCATCCTGGGCTACAAAGTGAATTCAAGGTCAGCCTGAACTTCACAGCAAGACCTTGTCTCAAAAAGTCCCCCCAAAATTTTATATTGAAAGTTAAAATAATGTAGGAAACCATTTCCTTACATTTCCAAATGAATTTCAGATGTATTTTCTGAGGATAAATAGGCTTATTCTTTACTCCAGAATTTCCTTTTCTCTAGGAAATGAGAACAGTGCAAGAGTTTAACATCGAGTAAGAGTAAAGAAAATCTCTTGTGCTTTTATTAACTGCTTATAGGTAAGAAACATGAAAGAGTTTTAATATGGAGGTAAAAGCAAATTATTGTCTAAAAAGCAAGTTCTAAAAGCATTTTGGAGATGGTATGTGTGCCCCAAATGAATACAAATGAGAAAGAAAAACTAAAATAGAGTATATATATATATATATATATATATATATAATATATATAACATATATATATAATATATATAACATATATATATGTTAGAAAATGTATAATATATGATTATATACATATATGCACACACATATATGTTTCAAGATCAATTGCTCAGTGGAAAAGTTGTATTGCTAACCACTGAAATTTACCAGCACAGAATCTGAGAAACCTCTAGCAATGAGGTTTAGGGAGGGGAGGGAGATGGGGAAAAAGCATATGGAGAAAGCAGTCTTCGGCTGACAGTGTCTGGGCTTCTCAGTCAGTTGGGTCAGCCTGAGCTTAGTAGCCATTCTAGGATATGAAGTTCAGCTGCTGCTGTGGTCATCACATTCCCCAAAATACTCTTCATCGTGTTAGTAGGCTAAGGGATGACAAAAAATGGAACCATGAGCTATTTGTTCTTTTCTTCAACAAACAATTTATTGAATTCCTCCCATATGCTGTCCAAAGCTAGGGACTGGGGATTCAGTGGAGATGTATTCTTCATGGATCTTCAAGTTTAGTAATCATATGGAGATTAATTGAATAAACATATGACTGATTTTATAGCTAGAAGCCAAGATTAAAGGCAACAAGATTTTAGGAGAATATACACTAGGGAGGACCAGCAATTTGAGAGACAGAGATAGAATAGGCTAGAGAAGTCTTTCCAGAAGCAATCTGAGATCAAAAGCCATAAATAGGAGGATGCTGAATGAAAGATTTGTAAGAGTAAAACTCTATGCAAAAAGAACCCCTGCAATTTTTTGGGGAGAAAAGAAAAAAGAGGGCTTAGCAGTAGTTGAGCAGAAGGGTTAAATCCCTATGCCAGGCCTCATTTGAAACAGGACTGTCTTCAATCTAAGACACTAACATCGTGCTCTGTTGTTCACCGTTGTGTAAGGTATCGACTTGACAATGATTTTTCGTATCTACCTTTTCCTCTCTCCTTGCATATGAAGCAATTCTCCCTTGGTGTCTTCTGAGTTGAGACTCAAACATGTCATATGGGGATGGCTATGATCATAATGTTATCTGCGTATATGAACCTGCCACATAGAAACCCAATATTTTGTAACATAAATAGGCTCTAATAAAAATATTTTCAAGACTTCAACATAGCACATAGAGGACAGTGAGAATCCCAGCATATTGCAGATGAGAAAAAGTTGTTGACAAACAGTGGGAAATGAGAAAAATTCCTGATAGATATTATCAGATACTAGAAAGTCCTGGAAACCAGAGTAAGAAATTCAGACAAGAAATTATACAAAATTTCATGTTTGTCTCTAAAGCAGTGAAAAAATATGATGAAAATAATTTCTGGAAAATTTATTTAAGGTTGATATGGAAAACGTATCAAATATCAAATACATGTATGTGTATTAAACAATTACACATTATTTAATTATAGTAGTTACTGTAAGCGAAAAGTGCTGAGTTACCTTCTAAGGTCCACTGCGTTAGCTAAGCCTTGCATCTTAGTAGTCCAGATGACCCTGCATGATCTACTGAATGAAAATCTCTGAGAGGGAGCAGAGACTGTGCATTTCAGCAAGCATACTATTACTTTGTGTGCAATAAAAATAGAGAGCTAGTGGGTTCAAACTAGAGCAAAACATACTAATGTCAGATCGCTAGCTGGACTGCTCTACAGTAATCCATTTGCATATAACACAGGCTACATTGGCTACCATGGAGATCCAGGGGCAAAGGTAAACCTGAGAACTGTTTCAAAGGCAGCATCCTAGGGAGGTAAAAGACTGGATTTGAAAAACAAAAAAGAGCAAAATGTCCAGGAGAACTGTCACTGCTGCATTCTGAGAGTCAGCTAGTGAACAGGAGGAAATATCAGGCCTCTGCATCACAGGGATATTGTTGGCTGGGAAGAGAAAGAACAAAGCTAAGAACTGGAGTGAAAAATAAAAATAGGAAAAGGAGAAGGGAAGATAGCTATAGGAAAGAAAGTAGCCCGATCTGCAGAGCGGAGGGAGCTGTCAATTAGACTAAACTCATCATGCAAGAAGTTGGCATAGAAGCGTTTCTCTCCTGAAAGGTGCTTATCAGAATGAAGTAGGACCAGGAGAGCAGACAGATGGCATAAGAGGTAAGCTCAGGCAGACAGGCCGAGGAAAACTAGTGGGGGCGGGAGTGGAAGTGGAAAGCCAGAGAGTTCTGAACCTCAGTGAGCAAAGAGAAAAAAGATTCAAGACTTTTAAACTGCGAAAATTATGTGGTTCGCTGGTAATTCTAAAAAGGAAGGGGAAAGGAAGATAGGTGAGATACCTTGGCAATATTTTTCATGTGCATTTTTCTAGCAATCTTTTGTGCTTTATAAAACCAAATGTAAATATAGTTACAGAGAGATAGATAGGAGGCTGAAGAGAAAGTTTGTTTTCTTTCTGACCTTTTCCCTCAACAAGGGAACTCTACTGTAAAAGCATGCTTGAAACATTTTATGAGGGCATCTATATAAAAATTGCTTGAGTATACACACATTTTCCAAATAAATGGAACTTTTAATGAAAGATATTTATTCTCCTATTGCTTCTAAATAAAATATTTACAAACACATTTAATTCCTGTGGACAAGAGGACTACTCACATCAAAGAAGAGTAGCATGCTGAACTTGAGAGATCAGACTTTGAAAGCTGCATGCCAGTGGACTATTTAGCTTTCAAACATCTTAAATTAATAACAATTGGCAATAAAGCTCTTTAAAATTCCTTTTGTTCAGGATCCATTGTGTTGATCTCCCTGTTTTGTCTAAAATGAATGAAGCTGAGATCTCCACCTAGAGGATTTATAGGATTTTGCAGATTTTACAAAAATAACCTGTATCCCTGGAAATCAAATTCTCCCTCTCCTTCTCTCTCCCTTTCTCTTTTTCCCTGAGAAATAAATGGCTTTAAGAATTTATAATTAAAATCTAGGATAATTATCAACAGAACACTTGCAAATAGATGAATATACCAACATTACTACCTAGACTAGAATTAACAAACAAGGCTGAATTTTTATTTTTGTACAATAATCCAGGAACAGATATAAATATATACAATATATAATCAAATATAAAGACAAAATTATGTGTGTAAAAAGCAATATTATAATTCTATTAGTTGAGAAATGCATAGCAATTTCCATAAAATAAACATCAAATTTAAATCTACTTAAATCGTTTTTTCATATTTAATCCTTTATTTCTTTGAGCACTTCCCTCATTCATTTTAAATGTTTCCAGCACTAGACACAACTTTTTTCTCATTTTCTCACACCTTCAAGTAGTACATTCTGTTAATTGCATCAAATATATCCTATGGCCCTCTCTTTGATTTTGGTGAATTTCTTTTTTATTGGTAATGAAAAATTACTGAGAATTTGTTCTTCAAAATAATGCATTTAAAACTTACATAAAGACTACACAGTGTCTGTCCTTTTTGAAGGGAGTTAAGTAGAAAGTGATTATTCGAGTTATTTTATTCACTGGGTTCTGCTGCTAAAGGTGATGTATTAGCATATTCAGCAGATGGTGGATAGAGTTCAGGTCTAGGAAAAGAATTTTCAGCTTCATTTATTTTGTTAGGAATCAGAGATACCTCATTTTATGCCCTGAAATGAATGTCTTTTATTTGTCATGTGTCTTCATTATCATTGTACCATCTCTATGTGCACAGTTATCCTTAGCTGGTTGAATATTTTAAGTTTCTTTCAAATCATGCATATTACTATTAGTATCAGGGCACGTTCCACTATGAAGTAGTCCATTTCTGGCTTCATGGAAACTTGCAATACTCAAATCTTCAAGTGTAGCTGCTTCCTCAACAGGGCTTAAATCACATAATACAGGCTCCTCACATTTTTTATTTTCCCCAGTTTGCTGGTTTTCTTTTGTGTTGTCTTTCGGGGTTATTTGTGTGGTCCAAATTAATGTACTAGAATTTGTCTTGCCTTCATCAAGTATATTTTCTTCTTCTCTTTCTATTATTTTTGTCTCTAGGTCTTCAGTATCATCCTCTCTGGGCAATGTATTTGGTTTGTCAATGTCTTTTTCACTACTACTGATTAGATGCCAGGTGGCTTGACCACCAAAAGGAGAAGTACCTATTTCCTTGGGAAGTTCTATGGTATTTTGATATGGAATAGAATCTGTCATAATAGATGGTAGATTGTTCTTGAACTGTGTCTTGGAAATGAGCGGAGAATCATAAATTTTTGTGAGAGGCAGACTGGTTCCTACATCAGTCCCTTTCTGATCCACCATAGAACTTTCCAAAAGTGGATACGATACTTTGGACTTTGTCATTGATGATTTTGTTTCATTTTCTACTTGTTTATAGTCAGAGTTTTGTTCTTTATGTTGTAAAATTTGATTTTGATCCAAAGAATGCTCTTCAGTGTAGGTGTCAGTCTTGTACACACCCAGTATTTGTGTTTGGCTTCCTGAGGACAGAGAAGAATGGTTTAGGTTTAGCTCACTGGCTTTTGATTTGTTTTGTTCTACCTGTGCAGTGGGCTCCATTGCCCTGTTGCCACCAATCCCACTGGAAGGTTGAGATGATAAAGTGTGATTTCTTGCATTTTCCAAAGTATTTGATAAGTAACCAGGAGCTTCCTGTTGAAGCTGAGTTACTCCTTTGCGTGGCTCAGTTGAGAACTGAGAGTGTGAGAGGCTGTCCTCAGCGTCTCCAGTTGCAGGCTGGTGCAAGATGGGCACCTGTACATCAGGAAAAAGACCAGGTGGGTGGTAGTCGTGCCTTACGGAGCTCTGGTTGCCTGCAGACATCTTAGTACCGAGAGGAGGGGCACTTCTACTGTTTCTCCTATAAGATGGGGTTTGCTTTGAAGCATGTTTGCAAAGCAGCCTTTTTGAAGTGAGTTTAACACAGTTGCTACTCTCTGGCTGTTGAAGGAAATCTGCAGAAGACACAAGGTTTGCTTTAGTTTTTTTCTCAGAGGTTTTAGGTAATTTTTTAGGAGGTACTGACACTTGTTTATGTTTCATCGGGAATTCTGGTAAGGAGTTTTCTGGATGGACTCTAACTTTTCTAAAAGGGTGTGAACTTAATTTTAACCTTAAACTTTGTCCTTTGGTTTTGCCTTTGAGATCTGATTGCTTGATTCTCTTCTTTTTCAGAACTTGTGAATCAGAAAGCCATTTTCCTCCTTTGTTTCTGTGCCCATAGCTGCTACATTTTTTGAGATCCAACTTGATGAGTTGGTTACTATGACTTTCCTGTGGTTGCCAGTGGGTTGATGTTTTGGGCATTATAACCAACTTCTTTTGTCCTACTAAATCAGGATCATAGAGATTAATCTTCTTTGGGGGATATGTTTTCTTGACTTTTGTTGATAACTTCGATAACTCTATGTTATCATCATTCTTAAGGAACTTTTCTATAGCACTATTAATTTGGCTTTGTTCTTTTTCACACTTGGAGGGTTTACTACAATTTAGTTTCATTTCTTTCCTATAATCTTGAAATTGATCAAAAAGTACATATTTACAGGAAAGGCCATTGTTTGGTTGAACATACTGAGTCTTGTTCTGTTTTAAGAGTCTATAAGCATCATCGTATTTTGATCTATATTTGTATAAGGTCTTTTGTATATGGTGTTCCTCGTCCTCAGAAGGCTTGGATGTTGAGCTTGTAATAAAATGTCTCTGCCTGTGAGGTTGTAAGCCATTGTCTTCTTTTTCTATTGGAGGCTGCCACGATTCATTTGTTAGGTGCTTTTCAAGACTTTCTCTTGCCAAAGCTGAAGCGGATATTGCATATCTTCTTCTAAATGTGTCACTGCCGATATCTGAAGAACAGGTACAGGAATTTAGCACTGGGAAGAGTTCTATTACCCCAAGCAACAAATGCTTAGGAACCTTATGAAAAAAAAAAAAAAAACAGTTTGGATTATGGCAGTTCTTAAATACTTGCTAATTTTTAGCCCATCCATGAAAGATGTTTGGCAGTTTGTTGCTGTGTTTACAATGACACAGTCTATGACCACATACATTCCAGTCAGCTGCAATGCTGACTTAAAAGTTATAGAATTAGAAATATAAATATTATTTATAGCTGTACACCTTACCTTAGCTGTTGGCTGGGATAACCTTAAAGGTAAATAATATCTGAGTCTTTAATCAAATGACACAGAAGTTTCTTTACATTCATTTCCTACTTGGAACTCAGATATTGGGAAGATCACGGGAGCAATAGTGAATATGGTTCAAGTTCCAAACAGAAATAAACAATAAAACAGCAATACCTATTTATTGACTCAATGAAAACAGATATCTTTTCATCTCCTATAACTTAATGCAATGTTCATTGAATATTTGCTTAGTGACTAGGTTTAGAATATGGCCTGATTTGTATTGCAAAATTTCTGCTTGGCACTATAAAATGATGTAAGTAAATGTAAGATTCAAGGTACATGTTAAATCAGGCAAATAACAAGATAATGATATTATTATTCACTGAACACACACTAAGAACTAAGCTTTATGCTAAATCTTAAGTATTCATTATCTTATTTGATTCGCAAGACCCATAACCCAGTGGAAAAGCCTCATTATGATAATTTTTACAGATGAAGAGTTTAGAGAGATTCTTGTTTTACACTAGTTGTATTTCCTCTGTATAATGTGGCCAGGGCTCAAACCTAGCTCTGTCTGACTTTAAATTCTGTCCTCTTAACCAGCATGAATGCTAAAATGAAAATTATATCTGATTATTACACTCTCTCCTGTTCCATGAACTTGTGTTATTCAGGAGAAAATGAAAGTACTTCTACTCTGAGAGAAGAAAGAAATGTAATCTAAGATCTGCCAAACAACTTCGTGTGTGACCCTCAAGAGAAGCTACTTACTCTGTGGGTATTAGAAGGTCAGACTAAATGGAAATTTTATGCAAGCATGGAAGCTACACTGAGGAAAGACTATGCAGTCTTTATCTGATTCTCAGGATTCTGGTAATCAAAGATAAATAAGAAGAACTATTAAACTAAATCATCTCTAAAGCCCTCCTTGCAAACATGTAATTCTGTATTTCCAAGGTATAAAGCACGAGCGTACTGACGTCACTTCCTACTGAGATCTAGTCAAGGCAGCAGGCGTGATGTCTGCTGTTTTCTTCAAAGATACTCGCCCTTTCAAAGTTCCAGCTCAACATGTAGCAGAATTTCATGTGTTTTCAACAGTAATTGTATCACTCTGAAAAACCACTGGCATCTGTGTGAAACAAAAGACTGGTTTTGAAATGGTTAAGAAACTGCTTTCTCTTCAGGGTAGAAATTTTCTATGAGAATTTAAAGCATTGCACAGAACTACAAGCTAAAATGAAACATCTGCCTAAGGTATGAGTCTTTTGAAAGGCTAAGTGATTATTTTTTTTTATAAAATAAACCCAACACTTTCTGGTTTTATGGCAGATGTTTCTTTCCTGGGCCCTCTCTCTCTCTTTAGTCAAATCATCAGCTCCCAGAACCAGCAAGTCCTGAAGTACGAGGGATGCAATTAAATAAATTTGCATCCTGCTTTATGCCACACATAAAATAACAGCGTTTCATCTCTCTCCAGTTGTCCCCAAATGTATCCTTAGGGCCAGGTCCCCATGGTAAGAATTTCTTGATACAGCACCTCTGTCATTCGTATTCTGAGGGAACACAATGCAAGCTATAAACCAATCCAGATAAGTGACAGGAACTCTTTACAGAGCAGCTGTCAAAGTTTTTGCTGCTGAACCTGAAAGCACTGGCTTGTATGCAGGAGGAGAAAGGAAGACATTTAATTCATTGCCTCCACCTAAATATTGACATCATCCATGTACAGTGCGTAGATGTCATGGCCAGATTCACTTGGCTCCCAACATGGGACAATGAATTAAGTCCTGACTTTCCCTGAACTGGGAAGTTATCATCCTTGACAGCTCAGCAAGCAAAGTATGTTTCTTGACATCACTCCTGAAATGAATCACTAGCACTGGAAGGCCCATTCTTCTCATATGTCACGTTCCGGAAAGGTTGCTTACTGCAGAATTGGCATTAGTGCTGGAAGGATGTTGGAATGAAAGCTAATACTCACCCTCCCATAAATCTTCACAGCAATATTGCTATTTAAAAGGCTGCTTTTTCTTCTTCTTCTTTTTTTTTAACATTGTTAGGTGTTGGGCCTCAAAATTATCTTTTAGTAGATAAGAGATGCACTTTCAACTCCTGAGAAAGAGACACACCATTTACACCACACACACACACACACACAGACAATCTTTAGATCTGCAGAAGAGGAATAGAGTGGTGCTTTAGTGATTTCCACAGTACTTCTTGTGGAAGAAATTAAAGAGATTTCCTCCTTCCAAGGGAATTAACTGGAGTAGGATTTCCTGATACAAGACAAACTCACCTGTTGTTCTCCTAAGAAGCCCCGGCAGTGTTTGAGATTGGCCTTCTCCATGCTGAAGACTCCTCAGCTTTTCAATGCTCTTTGGACAGTATCTGGTAATTAAACCTGCATCAGGAAAAGCTGCCCTTTTTCCAGGAGGCTCTGAGCATCCTGACTGCAGCAATCTGCTATCCAGGCAGAGGAAAGCACCGTCTCCCCCATGGTCTTTCCCTTTCGGGTTTCGGAATGATTTGTCAAGGGCTGTGGACTCAGAGGCCAATGCTGCTTGATGGCTGTTTTCCCGCAGAAGTGGCATTTCCTTTCCCAGCCCCACGATGGACGTGACCTGTATCTCGTTTTCCTGAGTTAAGTGGCAGTTACAGTATCCTTTAGCGTGGTGATTTCTTGCCTCATGACCACACAGGGATTCATTGAAGGTTCTGCAACAATGGTTTTCTGATGTGTGTTCATTTGCTTTGCCTTGTCGGAGTTTCCAGTTAAATGCAACTAAACCTAGACAAGTGAGGACAACAGCTCCTGCAGCAAATAGAGAAACCATTAAAGGACAACGTCATAGGAAGACATATAAATCACCAAACACAAAACCCACAAATATATAGGCTCATGGCTTACAGGGCATCAGTATGAATAGCAAGTCCATCACTATTTGAAAAAGCAATGGGCCAGACATTTTAATTGACATTATTCTGCTTTCTAATATCTGTCTGTCTGTCTATCTATCTACATATCTATCATCTATCTAATCTAATCTATCTATCTATCTATCTATCTATCTAATAGCATCATCTGATATCTCTTTAGTACAAAAAAAGAGATTTTCATAGACTGAAATGCATTCAAGAAAAGTAATTCCTGCATTAATATTATTTTCTGCCTGTGGAAAACCAGTTTAATTCCCAATTTCCTATTTCTTAATGTCATAGTTAATTTAAGAAGACTGAAAACCCCATACATCCTAACCTTACACCCCTGAAAGATCAATTGACCCTGCATGCTATTGCCATATTTTAATCATTCCCTAAAGATTACCATTCCTCCAGCTCATTGGCTTCCCATTTTCAAAAAGGCCAAAGTCTTTAGCATTCAGATTCAATACAGTCTGGCTATTAGTGTCTTACCTGGGCTTATTTTTCATTATTTGCTGCATTCAAGCTCTGTGTTTCAAACTATTTAATTCATTATTAGCCTTAAAACATACTCCATAGTATTTGTGGATGATTTTAGTAATGCTTGAAATACTCTCTCCTATCTCTGCTTATTTAAATTTTATTTATTCTTTAAAATTTTAATCAGTGCCTCCAAATTCCTTGATGACTGTGCTGTTTCTTTCCTTCTGTCCTGAGAAAATGAACAGCATCCAATCCAAGGTGGCCTGGCACTGTCACTTCACATGCTATGTAAACGTATCTTGTCCTCTGAGGAGAACTATCAGAGACAGTGATTCTCAAGACCAGTTATGAACTCTCCTCTTCACCTGCCTCCTTTTCCCTCCCTAGCAGTTCAAGCCAAACTCTGTGCCTCACCTCTCCATTGCCTATCACAGTGACTCTGTTCTTAGGATCTGTAGCGGGATAATGCTGTGTTCATTAACTCATTAGTTCCCTACTCTCCCTGCTAGACTTAACTACTGTCTGTCCTCACAGACAGTAGTTCAAACTTCTTCAGTGTGGTTCCACATTCTATTGCCAGTAACCACAACTCTATCACAGAGAAGGTGCTTTGGAAATGTTTGTTGATGATTCTTAAATAACAGAAGGAAGTCTGGTTATAAATTCTGATAGAGAGAATAATGTGCTGTAATTTTAAAAATCCCTAATATTGTGATCATGAAGACATAGTCAGTACATGTTGAGTAAGGAGCTCTGAGTTCAAAGCCCAGGTCTCTCTACACTCCAGGTGTGACTTTGGACAAGCTGGGTCCCTCCTCTGGAAGTAAGGACAGTGGGTGAGAGGGGCCAGTATCCAGCACACCAATCAGGTGCAGCGGGTCTGGTTCTCTCCATGGGTGATGTGATATTTTGCACTTGAAAGAAAAGGCAGAGTGTCAGGCATAATTGTTTCAGTTTCTCAGTTAAAGGGAGAGTGAAGATAATGTGAAGGTAATATCAGGTCTTGGTAAAACATTCCAAACATTGAACAGTATACCAGAACTTAAGGTATTATAAACTCAATTTATTTGACAGTGCACTCTCAGAAAGTACTCTAATGCTTTCAAATAGTTTAATTTCTCTTAATGACACAATTTTTTAAAAGTTGTAGCAAAAATTATGTCATACCATTTTATTGTCAGAGCCCAGTATATGACTTATTCCAAACAAAGATTTAGGTTTGTTTTTGTTTTTTTGTTTTTTTGTTTCGTTATCAAGGGAAGGGAGGAAAAAATGAAGGTGACACTTTTTACTCTTAGCTCTTTTTATTATTACTATAACAATTAGCATATGAAAATTATAAAATGGATAGATTATCTAATAGATTTCTGATGGCACCTGCATATATGCATTGAATGTGCTTTGATTTTGTCTATGCTCTCTACTAGGGACTAGGTTTAAAACATTAAAAATGCATGAGGGAAGCAAATTTTAAACATTCCCTATCTCTCACGCAGAATAGGAAAATTCAAGACTCACAATCCTATTCTGAGCTCCTTCTTGGGTGTTTTTAATATCTCTGAGCCCTGCTTTTCCTCTCTTCTCAAGTGATGATAATTAATACCACCTGGAGAGTAAGAGAGACAATGTATGTGATTTGGGGAACACAATGCTTTGATATATATAGTAAAATTCAAGAAAGGGTCGTCGTGGTAATTGTGATTACTGTTTGTGTTAGCTTGCTGTCACTGTCACTAAATCCTTGAGAAAATCAACATGTAATAAGGAAAGAGTTTAACCTTATGATTCCAGAGATTCCCACTCATGGCCAATTGGTTCCATTGCTTTGGGACCGGAAGCAAGACAGAGCATCACACTGGAAGCACATGGCAGGGCAAAGCTGCTCACCTCAGGGCAGCAGGGGAGCAAAGAACAGGAGGCAGCCAGGGCCTGGGAACCTCCCCCAAGGGTGCATTCCTTCCCAGTGATTTCACTTCCCCTAAACCTAAAGGTCCCACAACCTGGTGACCAGCCTTTAGCACATGAGCCTTAATGGGACATTAAAGAGGTAAATCATTACCATTTAGCTGATGCTATCACTGGAGTTTTGTGTGACTGAAAAAAGCCTTGGCAAACTTGACTAGTACCGGAAAAAGCTCAAAACAAATCACAAAGAGAATATTTTTATGGCTGATGAGTTAATAAAGCAAATAAGAAAGGAGAGAAAGACCTATGTATCCTAAACCACCCATCAGCCAGTGATGTGAGGTTCAGCATAAACTAAAGAAAGGAGTTTTTCCTCTGATTGGGTCTAAGTGGGGAAGACTCGCTGACTCTCCCATGCTCAGTGCTGGATATAAGGCTGCATCCCATAAACTCAAGCATGCTCATTGGCTGGTAAAGCACACAGCAAAGGCAACAAATGGAGCTTGTGGACAGATCGGACGTGCCCTTCAGATGTTTGAGTTCTCATTGCTCTGGCACTGTCTCCACTTTTAAAAAGCATTCTGAAAATCTGAGTTGGACAAACAAAAAGCAATGAATGACAACTTCCCATAGACACACTGAAAACACACGGCAGCTTCATGAAAACTTTATCTACTGCGTAACAGTAAGAAATGTCAGGGTTTGGTGGGAGATGTTTACTGATTAGTTTTAAGTACTGTACATATGATTATCAATATCAATGGCTTAGTTCTAGCTGAAGAACACAGTTATAGTTCTTTTTCCTACAATCTAGAGGTACACACAATTTACCATATTTATTCAGAAAGAGATGAATCTTAAAGGAACAAATGTATGAGATCAGTCATTTTAAAGAAGAAAGTTCTCTCAAAACAGTATGTTGAATAATTAGTCAATGAAAAATATTTAGTGTGATACTTTTATACACTAACTTTCAACATGCCTATAATCATATTTGGAATTTATCAGAAATAATCTGTGTATATTAAACTTTCTAAAGCCCTTGAAATCTTCCAGAATTTGTATCTATCTCTTTAGTAATGAGTAACTGTTAGCTTAGAAAAATGTATTTTTCTAAAAATATAGAGGAGGGCTGGGGATATAGCTCAGTAGTACAGTGCCTGCCTGGCAAGGATAAAGTTCTGAGTTTGATTCCCAGTACCAAAAACAAAAGCATAACAAAAAATGTAAAGGATAACAAAAATTATCCTATGGTTATGTTTTTCAACACAACAGCCTATGGAATACTAATTCAGTGGAATCCTCTATGAATGAAAAGATTCGTAATCAAATAAGTTTGAGAAATGCTCCTAAAGATTACTACATGTTCATTAGAGTAAGAAAAAATAGGTGAACTGCTGCAGACAATAAGCCTGTTTTATGCTGTTTAATCTAACATTCTCCAAACCTAGCTGACCACCACAGTCTATCATTTAAGTTTCTGTGCATCTTTCTATCTTTTTATTAGAATATCTATTAACTATCCCTTAGAACTAATATTCGAAGAAGCATATTTAAAACTAAACCACTGCTCTATCACTTCTGTCATTTATGGTAAATTATTTCTTAACACATATACTTCCTAACATGGTTTCATGGATTTTAAAACAATTTATCTTACTGAGATAAATTAAAGTTCTCTTTCAAGTTAGTTTGATTACTGCTAGTGGTAGTTCCATTGTCTAGAACAGATGGTGGTCTCTATCTGTCCTGATTAAAACTGTAACTGTCAGAAGTCAAAAACCTGATGTTCCTGTAATTCACTAGTAACTTGTTACTGAGGAATTTAACTAATGCACCAGTAACTTGTTTTGAGTTATAGCATATATTCAAAATGTGTCACTTCATTTCTAGTTGCCATTTGTGGGTCTCTGGCCTTCCAAACTTTCACACACACACAATGTTACCATCATCATCATCATCATCACAAAAGAGTTTTACTATACACTGAGAGCTACATAATGCAAGAATTCTTGTGCATATTTGATCTTCAACAAATGGCATCTCTTGGTATCATTCATCCAGTGTAATTTAATGACCGCTGAAGCTTAGGTTCTAAATTATCAGTAAAAAACTATTTCAAGGTTGAATAGTATCTTTTTAGGTTGCTAGGGGAGGCATGGAACTACTTTTTTCAAAAGTTAAATAAACAGACATTCTAGAAGAATCCAGAACCCTCAAACAGGAGAAAAACTAAGGCTCACAAAGGTTAAATAACTTACAGCAGGCTAGACAGCTTGTGAGAGCAGAGCCAGAATTCAAAGGAGGGAAATTCAGTTCCACAGCTCAACCCTTTGCTACTGAGCTGTGCAAGCACAGTAGATCAAGAGGGTGTGTTGATCATGGTAGCCTCTTCTCCTGGACCTGGAAAGCTCACTCTTACTACACCATAGAAAGGCATACACATGTGAAGGCCTTGAGAAATGCATTTGTGCCAGATCAATTTTTAATACTTATATCCTAGGGTCATAATAAATATACTCTTTAGTAAACAGACAATCAAATATACATACTATTCCTTTATTACTGATAACAAGTTAAGTATAGATAAGTTAAATTACTCAAGATAGTAATATCCTGAGTCATATCAGGTATAAAGCTCTTGAATTCCGAGCTCATTCCATTAAGTTAGGCAGCTGTCCTGAAACAGAACTTCTTGGGATTTGTGCCAACTGGGCTACCATCCTCCCACATGGACTGTCAACTTCTCCCATCTGTAATTCTTGCAAATGCCTCCCAGTTCTCTGAGAAAGGTATCGTTTAGTGGTCTTACAAACATGGACAGGAGATGGCAGAAGAGGAGGGCGGACTTCTAACATACCTGCAAAGCCCAACACGGTCAGCAGGGTCCCATCCGGCCCTGGCGGGAGGGGACGCCTGTCCTTTAGAACCAGCGTGAGGTTGGGAGCCTTGGAATCGCAGTTGGTCTCAGACAGCCTCAGCACACTCTTGATGGCCGCAGATGGAAACGACCGCTGGCAGTGTATGTCCACAGTGTTTCTCAGTGTGTGAGCGGAAGACTTAATGTAGTTTCTTAAAAAGTGGGCCAGTGGCTGCAGGTCACAAGTGCAGCTCCACCTGTTCTTATCTAAGTTCAGAAGACTCAGCTGCTTTAGCGGAGTAAAAACATCTGGCACGTGGGTCAACCTGTTTCGAGAAAGGTCCACTTCCTGGAGTTGGGGCAGGGGCCGGAAAGCATCTTTCTCAATGTAGGAGATGAAATTGTTAGACAGATCCAGATGCCTGAGTCTGTGCAGATCCGTGCCTCCAAAAGAACTGGCTGTGAGATTCCTGATCTGATTGCCATCCACCTGGAGCCTGGTCAGGGCCCCGGTGTTTCGGAACCAGGCCCCTCGCAAGGTGTGCAGAGCGTTGTTGCTCAGCACCAGCACCTGCAGGCTGTGCAGCCCGCTGAAGGTGTGGTCAGCCAGGGCGGAGCTGGAGATGCGGTTCTGCCCCAGCAGCAACGTCCGCAGCTTGGTCAGCCCGTGCAGGGCGTCGTGTTGGACGCCCTCGATGGCGTTTCTGCTCAGGGAGAGCAAAGTCAGATCAGATAAGAGAGACAGATTTGCATGCTCGATAGAGGAGAGGCGTCCGTCAGTGACGATCAAAACCCTCGTGGTCGTGGGGGCTGCTGTGGGGGGAGAAAAGCACAGGCTGGGAACGGGCTACACGGGAGCGGGAGGGCGTGTGGTGAACAATGGGGGAGTGAAAGCCCTCAGAGCCACCCCACGGCCTGGCTACAACAGACAACATGGAACTGATCCTCTGGTCTCTAAACTTAAGGGAAAGCCGGCGTCGATCACAATAGTGACTTTTTCTACTTTGTGATACTGGGACATATTTGTTGGAGAAACAGAAACCCATCTGTTCCTTTCGATGTCGAAATTAATTGAGCATTTGGGGTTACCCTCCCTGAGATCATTCTGAAGGAAGGTGGCTTTTTTTTTTTTCTCTCTCTTTTTTTTTTTTTTTTTTTTTTGTCTTTTTCCTTTTCATCGGTACCAGGGATCGAACTCACGACTGCCTGCTTGCAAGGCAGGCGCTTATGCCACTGAGCTAAATCCCCAGCCCCCAGGAAGGTGGCTTTTTAGGTTGCCTCCCTTTGAGACTGAGTCTTGACCTGATCCAGCTCTGCTGTTCCCATCCAGTTCCATGAAGCCCAGAGCTGCGGCCTGAGCGTGCAAACCGGTTTTCCCCCAGCAATGTGTATTTACGCAGGGAAGTCAATCACGCGTTCTCTCAAACAGAAAGGAGGGAGGGGAGGTGAGAAGGAGCGTTGGTTTCTGCTTTTTCGCTCCAGGCTAAAAGTTGGCAACTTGGTAAGGATCTATATTCTCTCCAGACAACCCGAGGATCTGTCAGTGGGGTTCTCATTATAGTCTGGGCCATCTTGGCCGCCTGTCTTATATCTGTTCCCTCCAATGAAGTCCATCATGTGATGACAGGTGGTATTCAGAGCTTCCAACTGTTAAATCCCTTCACCATAATCACCTCAGAGCTATCACTGCTCTGTCATTAGAAATCAAAGCATTTTAACTCAATAAAGATGTATTATAATCAGGAGTTATTGTAGCACATCTTTATCATGCTAAAATTGTTTTGACTGCAAATGACAGTGTCATAAGGATGGAGGAGTCCATTGTCCCTGGGAGGTCTACAGGTGATATTGGAACAGTCAGCCATGGGGGAAGCTACTCGCCAGTCCCTTAGGAAATTTAGACCGCAGAGCTGAAACAAAGAGATTAAAAAAAAAAAAAAAAGTAAAACACAAAGGCGTCTCAGAGTAGCTTCTCTTAGAAGAATTGCTTCTATCCCTGCAGCACTAACAAACATAAATCAGAGTTATTGTGTTTCTGGTTTGAGCTTTTTCTTAGCATTTGTTATTGATCATTTGAATTCTATTAATTCTGGCCAGTTTGGCATTTTGTTCCCTTCTGATATGAGATAAAGGAGTTTTGTTTTTATGGGCCCCCAGTCCTTTAGGGACTTGTGGAATCTGAATGAGCAGGCTGTTATTTCTGTCAATTACTTCTTGTCTAAAACTAGACAGAAATGCTACTACTCCTCTGTGTTTAGGAACTATAACTTCCCACATGGCATTCTGTGAACGAGGAGTTTTAGGGGTGCAGGGATATACTGGAGAAATACTTGTTTCTCATAGATAGCAGCTCTCTCCTGTCACATTTACCCACAAAATTTAAAGTCAGGGAATTCACATTAGAGGACAGAAATTTGGAGTTAAAAATGTCCTCAATATGATGGGGAATAGTATATATACCAACTAGGCTTGACATCCTTTATTCTGTCAGGAAAGGTGACAACATCTACCTCCTCATTCTCATAGAGTCTTGGGATTTTAGAAATGAAACAGATTGTCTTCTCCTACTTTATCTTAGCTCAGTTTTGTTTCTGAAAAATTTCCATTGGTAAAGCTTATAGCTTGTTTATCGCTTCCTGAATATCAGGATGTAAATCACATTCTCCTCAAATTTGTTAATAAGGTGTCTTATTAAATTGTTGACTTAAGCAAGCAATATGTAATGAATACAGGCAGTGTATCTTGTTAGCATTTCTACAGCTCATTTACCACCAATAAAAAAAGACCAGACTTTCAAAATGAGATGCAGTTTGATAATAATCTGTTTCACTGGTACATCACTTAATCTTACTAATGCTGAACAATTGTCGTTTGGATTTCTGATTCATTTGTATTTCTTTCAGATAGGGGCAAGGTTCAACCTATGCAAACTATGCACAAAGATAGAATGAATTTAATTTTTTCTCTTTAAAATTATGTGCCTACAGGAAACAGTAGTATTTTTGCCATAAGTATACTCGATTACCTCTGAAGGGTTTTGAATTATTTTGGTTGAGTCCACCAGGAACAGAAAAACAAAATACTCTTGGCAGTCTCCTCAGTCAATGTACAGACCTGCTCTTTAAAAGGTTCCCTCTTCTGGCTGAGCTCAAAAAGCAGTCTGCACAATGAAAGCCATAGCTATGGATTTTCTATGTACAGTGAACACTGCTTTTTAGACTTATTAGTTTTATTACCTAAGATATAGGACAGTTGATGACACAGGGTTACATCTTGGGTGCACACCACACAAGGCGGAGGGCAGGCTGCCACCAGCTGGTGCATGATGGCGAAGAGGGTGAGCAGTCCTCCTGAAAAGAGAGGAGAGGGCAGTGCACATCACAATGCTGGCGCTTGTTATTCGTGGCTTCCGTATGTACAGCTCCTGAGGCATTTTGATGATTTCTGCTGTTTAATGAGCATGTTGGTGTTCTCACAAGATGCCAGGTAAATGGCCAACACCCTCACTTTGCACAGAGTTAAAAATGAAATCCAGTGAGTTCACATCCGAAGCATAGCAATTGCTACCCGTTACTACACAATTAAGTGTCTTTGTAAAGCACTCTACAGTTTGGAATGTTTTTCAGCAGAGGTCATATTACTGAGTTCTCTAAATTCTGCTATCCAATTTGAGGGTAAGGAAATGGAAGCTCAGAGTAGCTAATAAAGTAGCCAAAGTCACCTAGCGGTAGGAGCTTAACTCAGCCTTTTACTTTGCGTTCTATATTCTTTCTAGAATGCATAAACTAACCTCAGGCACTGAATTTCACATAATTGCAACTGAATTATTTTATTACTGAAAGATTTAGATGCCACATTTGAAGACAGAATATGAAAGATTAAAATCATAGGTTCTACAAAGCTTTGAATTTAGCTCTGTTATTTACTGATTATAATATCTTCAAAAATTTTTATTTTTCTTATTTTCTGCTTTTTCATGTGTGAAATAGAAAAAAATAATATATTCTTTCAGGACAGAGCATTGTGAGAGTTAAATAAGATGCTCTAAGTGTTTTGTAAATGTTAAAATTTTTACCATAATTGTTTATGCTTTTACAATCTCACAATGAAATGGTAACACTGTTTCTATTTTAGTTTTAAAATGACCACTCATTTATAGTTATTCCTTGGTTGATTTTAAAATGTAGGAGGCAGACTGTCATTAAGCCTTCTATCCATACAATCTGATAGTTTGCAAACAAAACAAAGTGTAGAAAAAACATTACATCATTAATTCTCTCATTGGTTCAACAGGTATTTTTGTGCAAATATAGGAGCCTTCTGCACGGAAGGGACCACTCATGGCCTGGAAGATGGAGTGATATCAGGCCCCTGCCTGTATGGGCATACATTCCATGAATGGCTATACACAATAAACAAAATCAAAGATGAGTACTGAGGCATTTAGTAATAAATGATGCTATGGAATGAATAAATAAAACAAAAAACAGAGCTAGCATTAGCTTGGAGAATACACTCTCCAATAAAGTATCACTTTTACAAAGACATGCAGAAGGGAAAGGTGTTGGGCACCCCAGGAGGGAACTGTGAGTGGAATCTGGAGCACATAGTATGCTTCATGAGAGAAGGTTGATGTGGCCACTCTGGAGAGGCACAAGGAAGAGAAGGTCAGAGAATAACAGGCAGACATGTTCACCTTCTTCAGGACCAATGCAAAGTCTTTGGTTCTTTACTCAAATAACATGGGAAGTAATTGTGGGCTTTTTAGAGTTTTATTGTTTGATCTGAAGTACATGCTTAAAAGCTCCTGTTGCCTGCTGCACTGGGAACACACTTCTAAAGTAGCAAAGAAAAACATAGAAGGCAAAAGCAAGAGATGATGAGGCTCCAAGAAGGATGAGAGTTAGGAAGAGCCTGGATAATTTTTTATTGTCGTGATGCAATTTATTTTAGCAAATCTCAGCTCAAATATACTATTTAGATGTACAAGAGTAAATAAGTAATGCTTATCCTTAAAATACTTTTTAGTTAGGGGGATAGATATGTAAATACCAAGTTATAATACAAGGAAGAATGAAGTAAATCTAACTAATGATGAAAAACTATTTTGTGTACTCAAGAAAGACATGGCTAGTAAATTGGACCTAATGGAGTACAGTGAGTTTCCATAGGCTATGGATCACTGTTAGGTAATTCAGTCTGAGGAACTACTAAGAACAGTACAGGCAGCAGAGCCAGTGTCTGCTCCTGCCCTGTCATCCTGCCTGGCTACTTAGAATCTGTCCCATACATGTGAACAAGGGCTGATCAAACAAGGCAGAGTGTGAATAAATAGAGAATTTTATTACAGTAAAAGACTCATTGCTATTAACTCTCTCAGAATGCTCCCCCTTGCTTCTGAAACACTCATGCCATCATTCATGTCACTTCTGATGCAGTTCTGAATTTCTTCTTTCCTGAGTGTCTTTACAAGATATGATCACAAAGTACGATGAACACTGCAGCTGTGTTCCACCGAAAGGAAAGGCAGGCTTTGAAAAGCACTGTCGTTTGACCTTGTCTACCTTATTCACCAGGTCTGACATCTTGTGAGTTGTGTCTCCTCTCCCAAGTCAAAGTAACCATGGAAGGTAAACTTTCTGAATGAATTTAGGAAATCAAGTTGCCTGCAACAGCATATCTGAAGACATACATTAGGGAGGACCTCAGGTTTGGGGGATGGAGCGGAAAGGTAGATGGAATTACACCCAGATTCTAGGCTTTCTGTCTCCAGCATCTCTGGCACTTTCTAATACCTATGCATGCATACCAGGACCATAAGAGGGCTCCAAAGAGTCTCATTTCCTGGAGTCCATGCATGTATAGTTCCCTTTCCTTAAGTGTTAGCAAATCCTGTGGATTTCTAGAAATGCCACTTCCACGGTTGTATTTCACCGTTTGACAGGAGAAGCTCATCTTGTTTGGCACTGACCTGGTCAGGTGGCCCCTTTAAATGCAGCGAATATTCATTAGTCAAAGGAGGCAGCCAGAGATTTAAAAAACAAAACAAAACAAAACAAAACAACCAGCCATGTTGTGACCTGCTCATTGGGGTCATGCGGCAGGAACCTGTGAGCATCCACTGACAGCTGAGGGGTGTTCCTGGACAATGCTTGGCAACACTTGCATCATCAAAGCCCAAGGAAATAAGGTCTGCTAACAGCCAAGGATGTTGGAAGAGACCTCTGAACGTGGGTCTGGATCACAGTGCCAGAAATGCCTTAGTCTCAGCAAGGAGCGAATCTATACTGGATTTCTGATCCATAGAAACTATAAAATAAATCATGGACATGGTTTGAAACCACTAAATTTGGGGGAATTTGTTATAAAACAATACCAAGCAAACTCTGGTTGCCCTGGATTCTGCTCTTTGGCTCTTGAGTCAAGCAAGTGATCAGAATTTTAAGAATTTCTTAATATATAGATAGGGCCCACTTTCACAAGTGCATATAATATATAATATGTGTATATTATATAATAAATATATTTTTAAAAAACAAAAGCCTTTTCTATGTCCTTTCTTTTTTCTTAATCATTATGCTCTATGATCTAGCTTAATTTTCTTAAATCTCCAGTGCCTCCAGGTAGTTGTCTCTTACACTGTGTCCAGAATGTACAGTTGCTTTCTGTGGGAGGGTTGTTCTAATATAAGCTACTTAGCTACTCAGGTTCTACCTGCATTTTAAAATTTTTGTTTTGTTTTGCTGATTAGATAAGCAAAAAATAAAACATGAGATCACAGATTTGGTAGGGGATATAGTTCCCTAGTTAGGATATATTTGGAAATGTTCACGATTATAAGGCTTTCCTTTTCTTAAATGGTGAAATTCAAGTACCCACATATTGTTGGAGTCTGAATTCTAGAAGTGAATTAAAAGACCAGACCCAGAGTATTCTGATGAAGATCAAGTGGGTGAACCTATGGGGGTTTATAGGCCTTGTAGGGGCACAGACAAGAGTGTGACTCTACTGCTGAGTGGCTATATGAAGACAGAGGACAAGCTACTTAGAGAAGATGAGGAACCCAGAAGCCAGGCTATTGCAGTGACTGACTGTCTGCATGGGTAGAGAATGCACAATCTTTGAGGGTGTCACAGAGAAGGCTGTGGAACAGTGGGGTCCACGGTAGAGCTGGTGTGTTTCAAGGGGAAAAAAATGTTTGGAAACAGCAGAGCTGACAAGGAAGACAGGATCTCTTCCTCACATTCACCGCCAACCCCACCAACCTGGAGGAGCAGGAGTGTGCCTGGGAAAACAGCTCCCACTAAAGAGGGCTCTGGGGAAGCAGCTGCATCCTCAGGGGAGGGCTGGATGTTAAGGGAGAAATTGTTCTCCTAAGATTCTAAATTAGGTGGTAACTGCGTCTGAATGTTAAATTGGGCTCTCTACCTCTTGGCAGTAAAAATTTCATAAAGGGAGAAATGATAGGATGCATAGTCCTCAGGATCTGACAATGGGAGGCATATCATGTTTTTCAAAAGAAAGGAGCATTTTCAAAATTTTTTCGAATTTTTCCTGTGGATTCATAGCTATTCTTATATACTTTGCAACTGGAAAAAAAGGCTTGAGATATAATCAGAATACAAGAGATGTTTAACCAAACTTAACTGACAGTGAAGTTTATAATGGACAGTTTCTTTAATGACAGTTTTTAAGATTATAAAGAACTTACTTTAAACCCTAAAGTGGGGCATAGTCATGAGGTCTGTGTTTTCTTCTTAGCTTTGAATCTGAGCTGTCTGTTCAGTCGTGAAGCTGTGTAATTATAAAATTAGCTTTAGCAATTCTTTTCCTTCACACACATGTGCAGTATATTATAAGGCACTGAGATAGTTAATAGTTTTTAGTATTTGCTTTTATTCTTTCATTTGGAAGATGAAAACATGTCATTTAAAAGCATGCAAAGCTAATCAAAGCTTTTCCACTATTTCATTATCTGAATGTAGCTGCGAATTCTGACTTAAAACTCTTATCAGAAGAAAACTCAACATCCCTCCATGAACAGCAAATGAGCATTCAATTAACACTTCCATACAAGTGTATTTTAAATAAAAATATACTTTATTGTTAATCTCATCCTTTGCAAATGCAAATACTCAATTTTAAAACCCATAGACAGTTTCCTTCCTTTTATTCTTAAGGGAAAATCTCCTGTAATTTCAGGGAAGACCCAAGTTTTCTGAAGTTGTTAGGAAGTCAGAAGTGTCTCTGAAACACTGAGGTAAGGACTGTACCTTCAGAAGTATATCCATAAAAAATCCTTAAATATCTAAGGGCATCCGGGA